AGCCTCTGTGGCTCCAGCAGTCGGAAGGGGGATCAGCAGCTGGTCCCCCGCCCAGGACCACAGCGGGCAGAGACAGCCCCAACGCCTCCCTCCTGCCCACGCCACGGCTCTTCCAGGGGGACCAGGTGCTGTCCGTGGTGCTGAACCCGCGGCTCCCTGGGCCCTGGCAATCTCCCGGCCTCTCCCAGGATCTAGAACCGGACAGCAGCACAGGGCTCAGGGCAGAGAGCACAAAGGAGAGAGGAAAGCCCAGTCCGAGGGGTCACCGTGGAGTCGCAGCGCTGGGACCCGACGTCCCCCAGGCAGGTGGGGGAGGCCAAGGACCCTGCACCTGGCTGACCCACCTGTCCTGGGCTGTGCACTAGCCCGAGATGCAGGGAGCCAGGGCTCAGGCTGGGTCAGACCCTGGGGCTCGTGGCTGTGCCTGGACTTGTGAGTGAGTGTCCCTGCTGTGGCTACCTCGCAGACTGGACACCTGCTGGGGCTGCCCACCAGGCAGAGCCCTGGGCTTGCTGCTGTTACGCCTGTCATCACAGGGAGTGGAAATTAGAGGGACTCCAAGCATCCTTCTTTTTCAAAGATTTATTTATTTATTTAAAAGCCAGAGTTTAGAGAGAGATCCTCCATCTGCTGGTTCACCCCCCAAAGTAGCCACAGCGGCTGGAGCTGCACCGACCCGGAGCCAGGAGCCAGGAGCTTCCTCCAGGTCTCCCACGAGGGCACAGAGGCCCAAAACTCAGGCATCTTCTGCTGCTTTTCAGGCCACAGCAGGGAGCTGGACGGGAAGTGGAGCAGCCGGGACAGAGCCAGCCCCGTGTCGTGTGCCGGCACTGCGGGTGGAGGCTCCACCCACTGCGCCACAGCACCGGCCCCCGGGCGTTCTTCATGAGCTCCAGTGCCCTGCTGGAGCCATCTGGTGGTGCCTGGGCTGTGTGGAGGCTGAGCCATTGCCAGGCACCGCCAAGCTAAGCAGGACCTGCCCTGTCCGCCCCCCCCCCACTCCTCTGGACCTCAGGGGGTTCCCACGCCCCCCCAGCTGGAGGCATCTTCCTCTCCCCATCCTCCACCCACCAGCTCAGAAGGGCAGGCGGTCGCTGCCTGGACACTCTTGCAGGCTCCCCCTGAGCAGGGCCTGGGCTCCCCGCTGACCGCGGCTCTCGTCACCTGGGCCAGGCGTGTCCCCGCTGGGCCGCAGATCCTGCAGCCTTCGTTTCTGGAAGCTGTGCTGAGACCGCGCCCGCTGGTCCAGCACCCCAGGTTCGGGGTGACCCAGGGCAGAGAGTGGGGCTCAGGGATAGCCTGGCACCCCCCCCCCCCGCCCGGAGCCTTCCAGAACAAGGTCGCTCCACCGACTCCTTAAGTCTGAAGTCCTCTCCTTCCCCGGCTACCCCTGCACCAGAGCCTCAGGCCCCGCACGCCCTCGGGCCTGGCTGGCCGGTGCCCCGATTCCCTGTCACCAGAGGGCCCCTGCGTGCATGTGCCGAGTCGTGGGCGTCTGAGCTGTTCCCAGGTTTTGCGGCGCCGACGACCGTGAATTGCAGGTTTAGCGTTGACTGCGTTGCTGTTCCTGGTCTGGGCCGTGGTGGAGGGAAGATGGGGAGTCGTGAGGACCCCAGGAACCTGCTGCCGTGCCGGCCTCTGCTGGGCCCGAGGGGGCTGCTTCTGTCCGGAGTCTGGGAGGTTAGAAGGGGTCTCCCCAGAGTCTGGGCGTGGCCAGGGCTGGACATCTGCTCTTGGGAGGGTCGGTAACGTGCCAGGCCAGCCTTGCTGGGCCACGCTGGGAGGGCGTACGTGCCGGCCCCTCCTGCCTCCCCTGCACCGTCCCGGGAAGCTGGCTTTGCGGCCCAGTGGGGTTGGCGAGGGAGGCCGGAGCTGTCTGTTTATCTGAACACAGTGGGGTTAATTAGGGGAAGAGTGGGATGGGTGAGAACACGGGCCAGCGGTTCAGAGGCCCGTGACCCCTCCACTGGCCAGGTGTGCTGCACCTCGCCTGTCTCCAGGTGTGCTGTGTGCCTTCCCACCTGCCCTGTCACTGTGGGGTGAGGTCGTCCAGACCCCCCGCCCAGAGGCCGGGCCCCCTCCAGCCGTCCCACACACACTTCACACTACCCCTCCCCCAGAAGATGGCACACGCCAGGGGGGCAGAGGCCATGCCCGGCCAGCAGCACCCGCAGAACAGCCCACCCACCTCCCACGCTGAAGCCCCACCCCCCACGCTGGCCTCCGTGGTCCTCCTCCACAAGGCACGAATCCCGGGTACCACTAAGCACACGCGGCACTGTGGGGCAGGCGCCGGGAGACGCCCTCCTTAGGAACCAGGGAGCTGAGACCCTTCCCAAGGTGGAGGCCACAGGTCAGGCCCAGGCTCTCCCGGTGCCCGGAGGCCCTGTGTGGCACTGCTCAGGGGTTAGCCCAGCTGCGGGGCAGGGGCAGGGGCAGGTGGGCAGCCAGAGCGGCACAGGCAGCGCGGCACAGAGCAGCCAGGAGCCCGGGTTGTCCTGTGCAGACATCACTGCCCTCCACCACGGCCCCTGCTGGGACTGAGCCCGCAACCCGGGGCTGCCCGGGGCCTGCACCCGAGGGTGTTGGTGCACTCCCCGGGCAGAGGCAGAGGCAGAGAGAGACACAGGCTCTGGGCAGCTGCACTGTGCACAGCCCCCACCCTGCAACCAGGCAGCCCTCCCTGCAGCCGGCGCTGGCCTCACCGGCCCCTCGCCGTCCCCCCGCCGTCCCCCCGCCGTCCGGCTCTCCCGCGCTCTCAGCTGCTTGCACAGCGTGTCGGGATGGTCTCGTGTCCCTCTGCATACGGAGCGACCTGGCGAGTGGCCCTCTCTGCTCCCTTTAAAGGCAGATCAGAAGGCCCCGTGGGTGCCGCTGGCTCGTGGCTCTGGGGCGCCCGCTGGCTGCCCCACGTGGCCCCGAGCTGATGAGTCCCTCAGTGTCCATCAAGGCTGCCCGGTGTGGGCAGCGAGCCAAACCCAGGCCAGTCGAGAGGCAGATGGCCTGGGCGGGCAGCAGGGAAGGCTGGACAGGTCAGTGCGCCGACCTCACGCGCCTGGCCTGGCCGCTGGGCTGCTCCTGCCGGCCGGCGGCTCAGAGGTCAGGTGTCCCCACAAGCAGAGGCCGTTGCTGAGCCCCTCAGTGCTGCCCGTCAGCCCTGTGGTCTCCCTGGAAGCCCAGCGTGGAAGCCAGCCCACCAAGGAGGAGAGAAGACGGGTAACTGGAACCCCAAAGGAGAGAGGAGACACGGCAGGTGCGGCCACAGGAGCTGGGCGGGCCGCAAACCCGCGACGGCCCGTGGCCGCGCCCCCCAGAAGGTGGGGCTGCAGCACCACCAGCCACGGCTGCCAGGCGGGGGTGGCCCAGCCACGGGCGGGCATGTGTCCTGCGTTTGTCCAATGGGCTCCTGCCCAGGCCTTTTGGGATGTGCCAGCTGGCCGACCCCAGGCAGAGAAGCCAGGAGGAGCAGGGGCCCCGAGGCCCAGCGGCCAGCCGCCAGCAGCTCCTTCCGTGGCCTGCGTGTCTGACCGGGCACCGTCTCTGGCCGCAGTTCCGTTCTTGTTGAAGTCTTCCCCTGTGCTCCCCCGCGCCCACCGGGACCCTCACCCCTCCTTTCCAGAATTTTCTCCTCTGTCCCTGATTTGCTGACTCAAGGTGTGGCCATCTGGGGGCGGGGCTGGGGCCGTCTGGGGGCGGGGCTGGGGCCGGCTCTCCCCTTAAGCTGCCTGCTGGTGGGGTCCTCTTGGCTTGCCTTGGGGGAAGGGGTGGGAAAGGGTCTGCGCTGTGCCCTGTGCCGTTCCTGAGGGGAAGCCGAGCCGCCGACACCCCCGCACGCAGCCCAGCTGCCGGCCAGCGGCCACTGTGGGTCCGCAGGGCAGCCCAGCCCCTCCAGGCTTCCTGCAGCTGAGGAAGTCGCCGCCCCCTGCGCTGGCCCCCGCTGGCCCCCGGCAGCTGCTTCGGCTGCCTGTGCTCAGCGAGGCGTGGCCTTGCAAATGTTTTGACGAGGGAAATCTCTGTTGGATACACTCGCTCTGATTAACTCCACCGGGGCTCCGGTGACTCACCGGCCAGCGGCTGCTCCCCCGAGGCTGGGCCTGGCCCTCCCCGGGCACCCCCCGGCTGCTGGGCCTCCCTCGGAGACGGAGGACACACCTGCTGCCCACCAGGGTCCCCTGAAAGACAGCATGGCCGCGCCCCTCCCCATGCACTCGGCCTCAAGGCTGGCTTGGTGCGAGTGACACGCAGAGGCGAACCCGGCTGCCTGGGGCTGCCCTGAGCCCTCCACGGCCTCCCGAGAGCCCTCCACGGCACCTTTGGAGGCCCGGCCGGTGCCGGCGCCGGCATCCCAGCCTCTGGGAGGCTGCCCTGGGTCTCCCTGCCCTGCCCCTCCCAGGGTACAGCTACCACTGACCTCTCAGGGACTGTGCCCACCGCAGGCCGAGGCCACCTGCTCTCCAGGCCACACGGCCACGCTCACGTGTGTCCAAAGGCCGGGGCCGCCCTGGGAAGGAAGTTGCCAGAGGGGCCGGGCTCAGCCACGTCTCAGCCGGGAGCTCTGGGCAAGACCCGAGCCTGCGGGGCGGGTGGGAGGCTCACCCCTGCGCAGCGCTCTGGTCAGCAGGGGGCCGGAGGTCGGCATGAATGGTGCGCGCCCAGGGTGGGAGACGCTGGCTCCGCGGTTGGTGAGACTGGCCTCAGGCACAGCTGCCACGGGCTCAGGGACCGTGTCGTGGACTCCGTGAGCCCAAAGCCTGGGTGTCCCAGGGTGCACGTTCCTCACTCTTGATACGCAGGTGAGAGGGCGGGGGTGGGGTGGAGGCAGCAGGCTGGGGGTGGGGCTTGGGGGCAGGAGTCAGGCTGGGGGTGGGGCTTGGGGGCAGGGGCAGGATCTGCTAAACCTGTGCTGATCAAACGCCCACCAGGCCCCAGGCCCTAGGCCGCAGGGCGGCAGAGGGTGGGACCTCCTGCTCCAGGCCTGACGCCCGCCCTCCTGCCCGCAGGTCAACACCTTCATGTCCTTCGTGTTCCCCATGGTGGTCATCTCCGTCCTGAACACCATCATCGCCAACAAGCTGACGGTCATGGTGCTCCAGGCGGCCGAGCAGGGCCAGGTGTGCACGGTGGGGGAGCAGCCCGGCGTGCTCGGCACCTGCATGGAGCCAGGCCGGGTCCAGGCCCTGCGGCACGGCGTCCGAGTGCTACGTACGTAACCGGGGGCTGCTGGGGCCAGCTGTGGCCAGCAGTCGGGAAAGCTCAGGATGGGGCGGCCGGGGCTAAGGCCAGGGGTGGCTCCATCTGCCCGTCCATCCTTCCACTCGCTCACTCGCACGCCGGGGCCAGGCGTTTGCTCTGAGATGGGGGTCAGCAGAGGCGGGGGCCCCGTGAGGAAGCAAACCCACCCACCAGGCACTCAGCCCGAGCTCGAAGGCGAGGCAGCCGGTCTGGCAGGCCCTAAGGCCCTGTGGTCAGCAGGCTTGGTGAAAACTGGGGCTGGGAACCTGCAGCCAGGTGAGGTGAGGGTGACCTGGGAGCGGTGGGCACCGCCTCACTCACTCCAGTGTCCACCTGGCCAAGCGTCCAGTCCCTTGTTCCCCAGCATGGCCGGGTCTCAGGCGGGACCCAGGGCCCTGTGGCCCCAGCCTTCCCCACACGTGGGGCAGAGGAGACTGGCCTGGCCAGCGATGTGGGGCAGTCCGGGCTTCCTGGCTGGAGCCCCTGGGACAGAGCGCTGGGCCAGACCCCTCCTGCCGGGGACTCTCCCAGCCCCCTCTCCCCGGCGCCCCGTGTGCAGCCACGGCTGCCGGCTGGCCCTCCACCCTGGACCGGCTCCCTGCCTCGACCTCGGGGCAGGCAGGTACAGGACGCGCAGGAAATGCCCGTTTCTGGCGAACGGCGCTGCGTCTCCTGACTCTCGGGGCTCTCACTCTTTTTCTTTGGTGCCAGCTCCACGCGGTGAAGTCCTTGTTCTCTTCCAGGGGCTCTGTCGCTCGGCTCTCACGCTGAGATCATTAACCCGCCTCTTAGCGAACTTGGGCGCGTGGCGTGGGGTGAGGGTCCAGCCCCACGCTCCACGTGTGGCCGCCCCGTTCCCCATCGCCATTCGTAGGAGACACTGCCCTTTACCCACTCCCTGGTGCCAGCACCCTTGCCAAGGTCTCCTGGCCGTGGGCAGGGCTTGCCTCCTGCTCTCTCCTCGACGTCTGGGTGCCCGTGCCGCACTGTGCCCGTGAGGGCGCCTGGCTGTAAGGCGGCTTCACGGGGTACAGATGTTGGGGGAGAAGCATCAGTGGGCTCTGACAAGGGTGCGTGGACGCCGCAGACCACGGTGGGCGGCCGGGGGCCCTGGTGATGCCCAGACCCCGCTCCTTGGGCAGGACCCCCCCTCAACCCACGTCTCCTGAGGCCACGTCTCTCTGCGTCTCAGGGGCCGTGGTCATCGCCTTTGTGGTCTGCTGGCTGCCCTACCACGTGCGGCGCCTCATGTTCTGCTACGTCTCGGACGACCAGTGGACTCCGTGAGTAGTGGGGGCTGGGCCCAGGCAGGGGCTCCCCCGCAAGCTGGCGGCAGGTGGGGGAGGGCACCGCCCAGAGCACAGTCGGGTGTGGGGAGCTGAGTCCACCCCGCGGCTGCCCCCCGTCCCCGCAAGGCTTTGAGCAAGCAGGAGAACCTGGCCAGCAGGTCCCTCAGGGCCCCGTGAGCTCTCGTCCGCACTGCCGGGCTGCCAGGGCCAGGGCAGAGGTCCGTGCTGGGGACAGCGGGAGAAGTCACGGGGGCTCCGTGGGGGCCAGCTGCCTGGCCGGGGGGTGAGACCCTGTGGAGGGCAGCAGGCCCGGAGGCCGTGGGGTGAGGCCCTTCGAGGCCCTCGGAGGCTGGGGTCCTGCACAAGATTCCAAGGATCAGTGCAGGGGCCGTGGGGCGTGGGAGCTGCGGCTTGCACTGGGCTGGGTGCAGCCAGAGCCAGGGCCCGCGAGCGTCCCAGGCAGCGTCCAGCGGGGAGGTGTGGGGCGGGGTCCCCTGGTCCTGCAGGAAGGCGTGGGGCGGGGCCTGGGCCGTGGTGCTGTGGGCGTGGTGGGGGTGGGACCTGAACCGGGGTATGGGCGTGGCCTAGCAGGGGTGTGGTATGGGGCGGGGCCTGGGTGTGGGGCGGGGTCCCCTGGTCCTGCCGGGAAGCAGGGGGCAGGGCGGGGCGTGGCAGGGGGCGGGTCTGGGCAGGGCGGGGCTGCCCCCAGGGCCCCGTCTGATGGCTGCCCCCACAGGTTCCTCTACGACTTCTACCACTACTTCTACATGCTGACCAACGCGCTCTTCTACGTCAGCTCCACCATCAACCCAGTGCTCTACAACCTCGTCTCTGCCAACTTCCGCCAGATCTTCCTGGCCACGCTGGCCTGCCTGTGTCCCCTGTGGCCACGCCGCCGGCGCAGGCCGGCCCTCTCCAGGAAGGCCAACAGCGTGTCCAGCAGCCACACCTTCTCCAGCCACGCCACCCGGGAGACGCTGTACTAGGGCCCCGCGGGGAGGGCGGGAGCCGGACGGAGGCCACCTGGGAGCCGGGGGCGGTCAGCCAGAGGCCAGCCCGGACCCTGGCGCCCGAGGCCTGCTTCTTCTCAGCTTCTCCCCGCCCGCCCCACCCCTCCCTCGTCTCCTCTTGGAAAGCCGGAAAGAAAGATGGTCCCCTCGCACCCAGAAGGCCTCTTGACGCTTGGCCAGGAGCAGCTGCTTTGTTCCCGGACTAAGGGGCGTGCGGAGGGAGGCGGTGAGCGGGGTGGTCGGGCTGGGCCACGCCTGCCTCCAGCCCAGGCCTGGCAGGCACCAGGGCCCCACCTCGCACCCAGGCCCTCGCCCAGCTGGCCTGGCCGGCTCCGCCTCCCTCCAAGGCAGGCCCAGGGAGCTCCCAGCACTCCAGGCGTAGAGAGTGCAGGGACCCCTTCCCGCCGCGACCCACAGGTGCTGGGTGCCCTGGGGGCAGCTTCTCTGTAGCCGGGAGGACCCAGTCCCTGCCCAGGAGGCCAGAGCCACCTGCTTCCTGTTCCGCTGGAGAGAGACGGTTCCTGGCCTCTGATTCGCGCCCCAGGTGCCGGCCACAGCCGAGGCTGGGCCGGGCTGAAGCCAGAAGCCAGGCGCTCCGTCCAGGCCCCCGACGTGGGTGGCAGGGACCCCAGGACTTGAGCCATCGCCTCTGCCCCCCAGGTGTGCATGAGCAGAGACTAGAGTCAGGAGCGGGTGTCCCAGGTTCTGTGCCACACTCCTGGTCACTACAGGGAGGTCTCCTGACCCCCACCCACCCCAAGGTATGGGGGCCTCTCTGGCTCGCTGCTGGCTGATGAGAATGTCAAAGGAATGAAACTCAGATGGTGGAATTCCAATCCGGGATGTGGGGACCGTGGGCAGGCAGCCCTGAGCCCTCACCCCGGACCCCTGGCCACAGCTCAGTCCCCACCTGCCCATGAGGCCAGAGTCCGGGTGCGCCCCTCCCCACCCCACAGGTCACCTGCTCCTGACCCTTGCTCCCAGCGGCCCAGGAGGGCACCAGCGGCGCCCCCACTGTTGCTAGGCAACGTGGTGGTCTGGGGAGATGAGTCTGCATTTCAGATGCATCTGGGGACGGAGAAAAACGGCCCAGCCACGAGGAGCCGAGAGCTGGCGCTTCCTGCACGGCGCGGCTTCCCCGCCCCCACCCCCTGCAATTACGATTTGAACTCCGGTTCCTATTTGAACACCATGGAAACCGTGTCCAGGCTGAGTCGACGCCAGGCAGTGACGCCAGGCAGAGAGAATGGGCGCGGAGGCGGGGAGCCACTCGTGCAGTCACACATACATGCACACGCGCGTGCAGGCTCACACATCCCAGGCAGAGAGAACGGGCCACGGAGGTGGGGAGCCCAAGGCAGGGCCGTCAGGACGGGCAAGGGAGCGGTGCAGGGTCCAAGGGAAGGACGTGCTGAGTGCCCCCCGCACGCATGTGCAGGCACACAGCACACACACTCATGCACACTCCCACACGCGTGTGAGCACATGTGCCTGCCTGCATGGGCCCCGCTCCTGGTGTCTGGGGGCCTTTGCCAGCTCTCCCTGATGAGATCACAGCACCTCGGGGAGCCCGGGAAGGCCCCAGCCAGGCTCAGAACCGGGCCCGAAGCTGACGGCCCAGTTCTGGCCCTGCCACCCCCACGTATCGGGCTACACCTGACCCCATCCGTGATGGGGACAGGAGAAGCCCCAGATGCAGGCATGCACGGGGCCTCACGCTCTGAGGGGAGGGCGGGGCCTCATGCAAGGTGGCCCCAGGTCCTCAGGCCAGCGGCCCGGCGCTCCATGGAGGCCTGACCCTAACCAGCCGCACTCCCTGAGCACGTGAGAGCAGACACCACGCATGGCCCCACACCTGGCTCTCAGCCTTGTCGGGACAGGGCAGGAGCCTCGACCACCTGCCACCGCAGGGAGGGGGCCGGCCAACTGCGGGGCGGCCAGCGCTCAGGGCAGGCTGGCGGTGCGGCCCAGAAAACCCCACGCCTGCGTCTAACGCAGAGGGTTGGAATTGCTCTGTCTCCTGTTGGCCCTGAGGAGGTTCACTTGGGGTCCCACGGGCTCCGCCCCATTGTGGGCCGCTCCTCCCTTCCCGGGATCCCGACCCCAGACCCACCTCCGGGACAGGGGAGAAACTTCCGGGACAGCATCGTGACACAGGGGCCACCGCAGCCAGGACCTGTGCGTCTGCGCCCGGCGCGGGCAGCCCTGGGGAAGAAGGGACGAGAGGAGGCCCCCGGTGCAAGTCACGTCTAAGCTGAGCCCCTGGATCAGGCCAGAGAAGACGGGCAGGGGGCGTGCCCAGCGAGAAGACGGGCAGGGGCCGTGTCAGGGGTCGGGGGGCGTGTCCCAGCCAGAAGACGGGCAGGAGAACGCCCTGGACAGGGCTCTGTTCTGATGCGGGAAAAGTCCGGGAGACAGATGTAGTTCCTGAGCTGGAGGCCACACCCACCCCAGCCCGGTAATCCTATCATCGGTCAGATGCACTCCTCCCCTGGGACCCCGGGGCCGTGCGATGTAGCCACGCCCCTTCTCCAAGCCCGGGGAGGGGCGGGGCTCCCTTCCTCTCCGCCTGGGGCCCCAGGACCGCACAGCGGGTACGAAACTGCCCTTCCCGCGCGCTCTCCCCAGGTGCCGCCCCCGGGTGTCTGTGGTCCTCACTTTCTCAATAAACCTACGCTGCATGCCGAGCCCTGCCCGTGCCTAGAGTTCTCTACGGAAAAGGAGAGCCTGGATATCAGTTCTGGCCCAGCCTAGCCCACGACAGTCCCAGGCAGAGGGAGGACCCCCCACGGGGCCCTGCACCCGGTCTCGCCCACCCTGGACCACGCCCCCACCTTCCGCAGCGCCAAGGTTGTGTGGGCGGGGCCTCGAGGGCTGGTCACTCTCGGGAGTCCTAAGGCCCAGGGCTGGACCCACGAGCTGCCACTCTCACCGGGCGTCACGCCAAGGCCACCAGCTCTGCCCTCAGGGGTTCCTCCAGCTCAGGGCCACGACCCCCACGTCTGAGGAAGCACCCACCACTGGCTGCAGCCTGGGGCGCCCTCGGCGGAGGAGCAGAGTGGACACCAGTCAGTGTCCAGTGTCCAGTGTCCTGGCAGGGGCCGACCCTCCCGGAGCTCCACCCCAGGCCCTTCAGGAACACCTTGCCCGTACGTCCAGGGGCGCAGGAGGCCCCTGCCCGTGGACCAGGCATGCACCAGCCCTGGGCGGGCGCTCTGCGTTCCTGGTCCCCTCAGGTCCCGTTACCCCCTCCCTCCACAGACGGGACGCTGGGGCTCAAAGGAGCAGCAAGCCCAGGACTCCAGGCCGGGGTGGCCACTGGGGAGGGCGTCAGAGGACCCACCACCCGCTGCAGTCCCCAGGGCCACCCCCACAGCCCTCGGCTGCCTCCCCTGGGCACTGCACTGACGGAAGAAAATACCCTCGCCCAGGCCACGACGCCTGTACCCTCAGGACGTGCACCCAGCCCAGCCCCACCTGACTGCCATGCCCCAGCCCAGTCAGCCCGAGACCCTGTGCCGTCCCCCTCTGAGTCCAGCCTGTCACTTATGAGCATTTATGCAGCACCTGCTGTGTACCCCCTTTCATGCAGCACACAGCTCAGCCCCCACCTTGGTGGGCTGCCCCCTCCCCCACCCCTTTCAACCCAGCAGGGGTCCTTGGTGCGTGGTTCTCCCATGGTGCGGGCAGCAGGCAGCCCCCTGGGGTGGGGAGACAGCCATAATTCCGCCCCCGGGGCTCTGACCACGTCCCTCTGGGGCACCAAGCCTGGCCATGCCCAGGCACCCAGCTGGGCTCCTGGCAGGGACTGGCTGGTACCCAGGGTCAGCTCCACCAGGACCGCCCCCCCATGCCCCTCATGGCTCTGGCAGTGGAGGGGGCAGGTGCGGGCTCGCCCCTTCCTGTCACCCGAGGGCCACCATGAGGTGGGACAGGGCAGCATGGTGCTCGCACACGGCCCAGCCTCTGTGAGGAGCCGTCAGCACTGAGGCCGGCCTGGCCGGGGCTGCTGACCGCCCGGCGGGGACACAGCACTGCCTTAGTGGCGACACGCGGGCCGCTCCCACCCCAGTGCCAGCCTCCGGGAGTGGCCAGGGTTGGGTCCACGTCGCCCACAGCCCGTGGCCCAGCATCCAGTGTGTGCAGTGAAGGCTCTGGCAGAATATTCCACGACATTCTCTCTGGCATCGATCACCAGGCGCTCAGAGGGGACCGGCACCTTTAGGACCCGGCCCTCAGACGCCGGGGCCCAGGGCGGCCGCGCCACCTCACCCGCCCGAGCCGGTGGACTCCGGACTCAGCAGGACGACCCAGGAGCCAAGCCTCCGGGTCCCAGCAGCCGAGCTGAGCCACAGGGGCCACCAAACCCCAGCTCCCCGGGGACGGCTCCTCCCTCGCCCTCACCCTGCTCCTCCAGGGCAGAGCCGAGCACAAGCTTGCTCCCCGCCGCCTGGGCGTGGCCATGATGCATGTGTGGTGCGTTGCACACGCGTGTGGTATGTTACATGTGTGGCATGTTGCACGAGTGTAGCGTGTTTGTGTGGCTGTTGCACTTGTGTGTGGCCTGTTGCATGGTGTGGCTGTTGCACACACGTGTGGTGTGTTGCATGTGTGTGTGTTGTGTGTGTGGCCTGGTGTGTTCACCCACAGGGTCGCTGTGAGACACACTGGTGCCCCCGAGCGCCTCTGTGAGACAGAAGCCCCAGGCGCTGGCTCTCAGCTGCTGAGCCCCGGGCAGAATCCTGGGAGGTCAGAGCTGCCCGAGGCCACCCAGCGCCCAGGGGCACCCGGGGCACCATGCACCCTTGCTTGGTTTCACTGTTTGCTGTGTGCACACTGGGGCTCCCCGCGTGCCCCGCCGGTCGCTCCCGGCACGGGCGGCCAGTGGCGGAGCAGGCCAGCCCGCTCCTGGCTGCAGGCGTCAGCTCTTTGTGAGCGCGGAGTTGGAGAGCGTTTGCCTGTGAAAGCGTGCAGTCTCCACCCACCCCGCCGCGTCCCCACCTAACAGATGGCCGAGTGCGGCGCCAGCGCGTGACGGGCGGAAGCTCCGTTGACAGCTCGTCCCCGGTGCTGTCATTCCGCCCGCCTCCCAGGTGGGCACAGCCCCAAAGCTGTGTGCTGCACACTCAGAGCTAAATGATTGTCTGACATTTAAAGCTGAAAGCAAAAGGCCCGTCCGGTGCAGTGGGGGCGTCCCTGTCCCCACAGCATCCAAGCAGGGGGACAACGGGGGCACAGCTGGGCTGGCAGCGGACGCACGAGGCCCTGAGCCCCTCCGTGGCTGCGGGCAGGCCGCGCTCTGGGGGTCAAGACCCACAGAGACCCACAGCGGGCAGAGGCTGACCCCCATCTGGGGCCCCTCCTCCTCCAGGGCCCCAGGAGGTGGGGATTTGGGATCTGAGTGGGGGGCCTCAGACTGCCCCTCCTCCGTCTTTCCTTGGGCTGTGAAACCTCCGTCCAGGCCCCCACGTCCACGTCCCCCGACTCCCTCCCCAGCTCTGGCCCAGCCCCCGCCAGGCGCCCCGCCCTCACGGCCCCGGGTGGTCTCCCCTGCTCAGCCTCAGCTCTGGTCCTGAGATGAGGGGGTCGTGGAGGAGGGTGAATGACAGCTGTCCTTCCAGGGGGAGGGGTGGGGGAGGTCGCGAATGCCGTGGAGGCCGTAGCCACTCTAGCCGGGGCGGGAGCCAGCGACCCACGGGTCTGGCTGAACCCTGGCCCCCGCCTGAGGTCCCATGTGGGGCAGCCTCAGGGCCCGAGCCAGGGATGAGAGGTGTGGTCAGGACGTGGGCACGACTACCCACTGCCGGGGTGGGCAACTGCTGTGGAAGCCCCCTGAGCTCCCCAGACCTGGCAAGGGGCACCCTGCCCACTCGGCAGCCCCTGGCCAGGCCCTGGCAAGGCTTCGTGTGCAGGGGAACCCAGGAGGCGGCTCCTGGTGGCCACAGCCCCTTCCCCAGCTCAGTGGCTGCTCTGCCTTCAGAACTCGGCTGGGGGCCTGCCATTCACGGGGGGGGGCAGCCACGTAGGTAAGGGGCCACGCCGGCACGCGGCGGCTCCTCTGAGCTCCCTGTGGCTGCTCTCCCTACCACAGCAGAGCTGGGACCACCCAGCCATCCAGGATGTGAAAGCGCTGGCCCCAGCCCATTCCAGGCCGAGT